TCAGCGCTAATACTACGTACCTTGCTATCCCCCACAGTAGCACGTGCAAGCAAAATGGCGAAAACCAATATTGCTTACTTCCAAAAATTACATTTGGCTTCATTTTTCAATTTTGGCGCAAATTACGGTAACCTCTTAGTGTTGCCATCGGTCACGTGAGACCCGCTAACTTCCGTAAACTCTCAGCGTTTGTCGTCGCATATATCTGCAAACCTCATAATAATAAGTTCCGAAGCAAATATTCATCAGATTATTCAAATTACTTTGATATGTGTTGCATTTAATTTTAAAATTCAAAAGAAACAATCAATTGAATGTGAACTTACTTAACTCACGAATGTGGCAGACTGAATATCTGCTATGCTGTTGTAGGGATAAAAAGTCACTCGGAAGAAAAACAGATCGAAAGAAGGGCACCGGAAAAAAGGAAACGGAAAATAAAGGCCCGCTTGCACTAGCGGAACTTTGCTCCCAAGAAATAGTCTAAAAGTTGTCATTCCCAAGGACGACACCCGTTTACACCTGCAAAGCATGCGAAAGCATGCGAACTTGAAAGCTGGTTTGAAAACTTTTTAACGGCACTTGTTTCAGATTGTGAAGAAATATTTAATTCTTAAAGTTCTGAATAATGCTATCACTAGGCTGTTTATTTAAGCTCGTATATATTCAGTTTTATTAAAAAAAAAAAAAAAAAAAAAAAAAAAAAAAAAAAGAGTAACATTTTCGCCTTTTACCCGGGGTATCAACTTCGCGTACGTTTCTTAAGCTCAAAGTTTGGCTAGTTCACGGAGTGAGCTAGTTAAATGGGGTTTTATTTTCTGGTGCCCTTCTTTCCGTTTCCTTTTTTTTTTTTCCCCGGCGCACCGCTATATGCAGAGCCATTTCTCGGGCGTCGAAAATGCCTCATTTCGCGGTGGTAATCCAATGTTTTTCATTCCACACTGATAGATTTCAACAGTACAGTTGAGCAATCGGACGTCAGTGGTAGCAGTTGTCGCGCTCACCGCCGTGAGGTGTGTTTACGGAAATCTTTCGGGTGAACTTTTTGTTTTCCTTTTGATGGCTTGTATTAGTTAGATCTCGTATTTCGTTTCGCAGTGTCATTAGAATAAGAATTTATTTTATTCCAAGATTTGTACATTTATTCGCGAGTGCGTATTGCCAAGAATGGTTATTTAAAGTACCTACAGGTAAATTTTGTGAAGTACAGCATAAATTTTCTATTTCGTGTAACTAGTGACTGAATTAAATATATTATGTTTTATAGTCTGAAACTGATAGTGAATTTCATAATTAATTTTATAAATCGTTAGCATGTTTCCTTGAAATCTGTTTAGAGAAAATGAATATCAAGTTTATTTTTATTTATATAATTGTAGTATTATTTATTATGAATATTTAAATAATCCCTTGCATTCTTGAAGTGCTGTGTATTGTTAATCTTGAACGCTAGATATTTGTTGTCTAGAATATTCAATAACTTTTTCTTAAATCATGACCTAGTGTACAACTGTCTCCTTGGATTTGTTTTTTATTTACTTGTTACTGACTTTTCTAATTTAAAGGAACAGTGTTCTCAAACTTAAATTGCATACGGGCCGAATGCGTGATCATCAGCTAACGGGATAAAAAATTTTTTTCAACAAAAGGAAAAGTTTTTTTTTAACAAGGCAAAAATTTTTATTTTTTAAAAACTTATCAGAGTATACATGAACAGTTATAATAATGACACAATGGAAAAAATTCCAATTTATATTTATTTCCTGTTCAAAATTTTAAGTTTGGTATCTGCAAGAAGTTTCTGTATGTAATTCAAATGTATTAATTAACAGCTAAATATTAAGTTTTCAGACTGACATTTATGTTAAATAATTCAAATATGTTGAATTAATTACTTTATCAAATAATTTACTTAAACTAAAAATAAGCAAATGATGAAAACTTTACAAATGGAACAAAATATGAGAAATAAATAAAAACCTATTTTCATTCTTTTATTTTCTAAATTTTCTTCTGTGCAATTAGAAAAAAATACCGATATCTATGTGTAAATTACAGGCTTCTATATTTGTTAGTACAACTTTCAGCTACAATACCTCATAGCTTATTTTTTTTTTTTTTTTCAAATTCTTGTCATAGTAATGCTAAGTAATTGACCAGAAATATATTCGAGGGCCATAAAAATAGCTTTTAATGAAGATTTGGCCATATGTGGTCTGCCTGTTTGAGATCACTGTATTAAGAGCATAAATATGTTATTTTCAGATATTTTTTCTTTCCTAATCTAAAAGTAAGTTAAAGTTTTTGATTTAATTATATCAAATAAATATCTGCATGTTAATATATCAATGCAATAGAGGATGGTATAAAATGAAATATTAAGGTGTATAGATGTTTTATTCCTTTTTTTTTTTTTGTTTTTAAATTTTATTTCATATACTATTCTTTAATACTGAAATAGTTTGTATCTTCTAGAGACTTTATTTGAAAATTTGAAACTTTTTTTTAAATTTTGTATTTAATTTATTATTAAATGACTGATAGAATATGTTTATAATTGCTTGCATTTTATTTTCTTAATTTTTATTTACTTCCCACTTTGCCTTTATTAATACTTACTTTATTGCTTACTTTACCTTTAAAAAAAAGGGACATTTTATTGTTCCTCAGTCTGGTAAATGATCAGTCTGATTAACTAATAGAAAACTACTGCCATGATATAAAACTTGGTGATAAATGATACAACAACTTTGTGATAATACAAGGGGTACCCTTCTCTCTACTCTAAACCTTAGTTCCCCCTCCCTTTTCTAAATTATTCATGTGCGGAGCTTCATTTTTATATTAATGATAACAATTTTCTCATTTGTTTTCTCTGAATTTATAGCCAATTCATTTGAATGTCCTTATCTTCTCTCTACTCTAACGCTTATTTCCCCTCCCTTTTCTAAATTATTCATGTGCGGAGCTTCGTTAATGTATTGGGGATAAAAATTTTCTCATTTGTTTTTTCTGAATTTATTGCCAATTCATTCGAATGCCCTTATCTTCTCAGAGCAGAGGATTTTCATATATGTAGAATTAGGCTAAAATGTAGTAGAGCACTTCACCAAAGTAAATTTGCACAAGTTTAAATGTAATCATGAAACCGAGTTAATTTTTCTGTAGTTTCCTTTTAATTGAGTGCTCTGAAGCAGTTCAGTAATTTATGTGTTAAAAAATTTTTACTCTAAACAGTTACAGACATTAAAGATATGCTCTGTGGCAGTGTGACCACATAGGTTGCATTCAGTTTTAGAGATGGTATTTTAAAGTAAATTTGCACACATTTATCAGTTAATTAATAAAGTGTTTATTAGATTTCTTTTTTTAATTAAAACTATCCATAAGGTAATGATTTCTCATAGAACTAAAAGCATTTTAGCTGATATAACTCAGTTTACATCATAACAATCTTTGATTGCTTAAAGCGAATGAAGAAACTTGAATTTGGAGAAATCTGTACTAAGAAAATCATTGATTCTGTGATTTTCAACAATCAACCAAATTACTTGTATAATGTTTTATTTTATGGAATTTATTTTGCTTGTGTTCAAGGATGGAAAATAGAATTTTACTATTTTCACATCAGCAGAATAAATATCTGTATGTTTTTTACCTGGTAACATAGAATAACATTCATAGAAAACTGATACAAATGCTCTTTTCCCGATAACATTGATAGAATGCCTTAATTTCTTCTCAAAATTTTAGCTGATTTCGTCGACTGCATTGCTTTTACCGAATTGGGAGTTCAAAACCAGTTTTATAGGTTTTTAAAATCTTTCACTGAGAAATTTTACTCAGATTTTCAAATAAATTATTATTATTTAGTCACCAACTTTGAATTTTATTAATTTCATTTTTATGTGTATCCACATAAGTTGAATGGGTAAAATTTTAAAATACTGGAAATTTATTCTTACTTAGCTAAATGTTGTGACATGTATATGGGAATTTACTTATATAATATACATGTCTGTCATTTTCTTTAAAAAAATCTCGATATGAAAGTGCACCTGTCCTAAAGCCCTCAAGTGCTTTATTATGACTGCCAAATTGAAGGATCTTTTATTTCACATTCTGTGTTATTGCTATAAGGGTAGTGATATGCTTATGCTAGACAAATAAAATTGTGGAAAATAGATCTCAAGCTAGCGAAACAATATTACTGCTTGTTAGAAAGACTAAAACAGAATTTGTTGCAATAATAAGTAAAGAACATAATCCCTTCCCACTGCAAATAAATTCTTATACTTTTGAGGACGTTGCTGAGTTTACATATCTTAACTCTCTCTCCTATCTAATGATAACAATATTAAACTTGAAATTGATAAAAGATTATTTAGAGCTAATAGATGTTGTAATGTTTAAAAAATTTATTCATGTCTAAATTATTAAACTTCAAGACAAAAATAAAACTTTATACAACTTTTATTAGACCTGTCATATTGCATGATAGTGAATGCTGGCTATTAACAAAAATGGATAAGAAAGGCTTCTTTGAAAGAAAAATACTTCGAAAAATATATGGCCAAATTAGGGAAAATAATAGATGGAGAATTCTGTGTAACCATGAAATCTATAGAAGATAAACAACCTAATATTGTTCAAGTCATCAAATCTTATCGTATCAGGTGGTTTGGACATATTTTAAATGTGACAACTTAAACCCTGCTAAAAAGGTGACTTTTGCAAGCACAGAGAATACCAGGAAAAGAGGAAGACCTCACACAAGATGGATAGACTGTGTGGAGGGAGATCTCAAGACTTCAAAAATCAGTTGTTAGTGGAACATAGCGACTGATCGTATGTATCCATTGGAGGAAACTTGTTAAGATGGCCTTGGCCTGTAATAGCCTGTAGTGCAACTGAAGAAGTTAGAATGACTGACTGAGCTGTAGAAGTCTCCACTGAGCCAACCCAGCTGAAGACATTTTCACATCCTTTGCAAATGGAATGTTTAATGTTCTTTGATACTACTGCTTCAAATCATTGTAAACACTAGGTAATGAGCTTATTAATTTTTGCACATTTGACATCTGTTAAAGTGATTCCAGATGGCTATAAGTATACTTTTCTTTAAACTAGTCTTACCACTGAGCATATCTTTAAAATCAATCCTGCTTAATCTTTCAGCATCCTGTTTGCTAAATATTTGTTGCATTGTGAGAAAACTTAGCATTCTTAGTTAATTCAACTTGTTTTTCTTCATTACATTTTATTTATTTATTTATTTTTAATCATTGAAATTTTAGACTGTAATTTAACTATTTGATATAACAGATTCGGTATAGTAAGGTTTAGTACAATTAGGAATGTGTCATGCATCTTTTTTCTGATCTCAATTTATAAGTGACAGAAAAGTGAAGTGCAAGTAAATTTGATTAATCTAGTCAACTATGTATTAAATGTACTCATCTCTTAAATAAACTTATGCTGTGCTTCAGTGTTTGAAATTATAATATGAATGCTAAATTTGAGTATGCTGTTATAACTGGTATCAGGTTTTGGGCAGAATTTTAATATCTGAGATGTATTTCAAAATTGTATTCCATAAGTATATTTTATTACTTTCACAATTAGTGTATTATGTTGATGAATTTATTAGTTATACTATAATTTCTGCCCTTTTCTTTTGTTCTTAAAAACAAATCTGAGGAAAGGTTCTTTCCTGTTCCATCTTTAATTTATATATTATGCTTTAATGTAAAATAATTGTAGGATACTTAAGTATTTCAAAAATTTACACATTTAAATTATTTAAACTGTAGATTTTCATAGACATGTAATCTAGAAATTGGCAGTTTTCAGTAAATTTTCTAATTAAACAAATTTTTTATCTTTCATTTTTACAAAATCATGTACTGTCAGAATTTTATTAGCTGATACTGTAATTGGTTAGCTATTGAATTGAATAAACTGATCACTTTTTTGTGAATTATATGTAAGTCGATTTAAATTTTTTAGATCTTGCTGTCCTGCTGTAAAGATATGGCTGCAGGTGTTGTAAAGAGGTAAATAATTTTAGATATTTTGCAAAATAGGGGAATTAATTTCTTTTTATATATGGAACATGCTTTCTTAGTATTGTTGTGTGTATAGGGGTTCGTAAGAGACTGAATGCACACAGATTCGATAAGTTGATAAAATTTAACTTATCAAAAGAAACATTTCAGATTTTTGGAACTTTCCACAGAAATACTTGTACAGGTGTTCACAGTATCACAGAGTACAATTAGTAGTTACACTTCAAATTACTGAGAACATTGAACACAATACAATGCAAAATGCATCTACCAAACTTACGCTGAATTAAACAACTCATAACTCTGGAACTGATGCTCTCATCGGCCTTATATAGTTTCTTCTCGGCCGTTCAGAGATTTCTAGTAATTTTTGCTTTTTGAAATTACTGGAAGGCATATGAAGGCTGGATACAGTTACATATAGGGTGAATCAGAAGACGTGGGCAAACTTTACGGGGTGATAGAATGCAGCTATACAAGCAATATTCATCATATCATGTATGGTTGGGATGCTAGCAGTGAGAAGTTAAAAGGTAGTTTTCCACTGTCACATTTAAGGAATTAGTACAAAAATGAGAAGAGATACTTCAGAAAACATTTTATTAACAGGAATGTAACTGATGTACATGTTCAAAGAAATTGCTCAAAAAGACTTGCCAGCTGTAATGCGGGCCTCACACTTGCAAGATAAGGATGCACATTTGCAAAGATGCCAGACATTTCTTAAGTGCAACAATGGTCATCCTGGGGTCTAGATCCATATTGGTTTCAACAGGGCACTCTTAGATTAGGCTTTTTATATGGCATCGCAGGAAAACTCAAAACATCTTCGGTAAATCTTGATGGCCAAGCTGTTAGACCACCTAGACCAATCCATCACCCTGGCAGCTTTGCATCTGAAGTATTCTGCACATCCAAGCCATTGGGTGTGAAGACCGATCCTTTTTACCATTTACAACACCACCTAGAGGCTCACAGTTTACATTCTACCCAAACATTCTGTGATGAATATTGCTTGTATAGCGGCGTTCTATCACCCTGTAATGTTTTACCTACATTTTCAGATTCATCCTGTATAAAATCAATTACAATTATTCAATTACTATATTCATTACAGTTATAGAGGGGCTGGACCAAAATGTCTCCAGGTTTGGTGACTTTTGGCGATTTCTTGCTAAATTTTCCAATAAAAATCGGTCACCAAAACCACTGCCAGCTATTTGATATCTCGCATGAGATAGCCAGCCATTTACTCAGTGTTAAATAGACTTGTCCCTGTATTCTTATTTTTCCAGCTATGGATCATTTCTCTCAGCTTTTCATTTTGCGTTATACAGAAAAATACAGCAATTTCGCTGATAAATTCATTAAAATTATCTATGTACAAAATTCACAACAGCATTTATAATTGATTTAGAAACAGCTGCTGCAATTTATTTCACTTCTGAAATAGGATTTGTATCAGTTTTTTGTGATATAGATAATACACAATTTCAAACTTATAGATAAATATGAACCTTTGGTGAGAAAATGTTTTCTTTAATCTTGCCTCCCAGAAATGAAAGTCATAAACTTTTGCATTCATAGAATAAAACATATTTAGATTTACCCATAATTTAGCATAATACATGTGTACAGTTAATTGCTTTTGTCTATCTAGTGGAACTTGCAATTAAGTCTGGATACTTACGTAGTATTTCGTCGATCACAAAACTTCCCCAAGCAGAGTGATTTGCACCAATTATGGAAAAGCATGATGTAATAATTTACTGAAAACATCAGTGCTTTCATTTGATGTAACCCAGATTGACTCATTAAGCTGCCTGTTGTTTTTATGAACATGATATACAGGGTGGTCATGAAAAGACTTCCCTTATATGTGAACCTTTATCCATTCAATGAATTAAAATGAAATTTCAGATGTTCTTTGAAGATGTGCATCTGAGATTGCGATGATTTAAAACATAGAGTTCTCACGTTAAAATTTTTTCAAGTCAACACCCATTTTTTTCCTACGCAAACTGATCATCACTTTGAGAAACCGTAAGTGCCATTGAAATGATGCCTATATATGATGAAAATTGCTGGTGTAAAATATTTGCAAAGAAGAGTATTTTAAAGGTCTAATGATAACACAAGAGAGGAAAAAAACTTTGATCGGAATTACAAATTTTCATCGTGCCCACCTTTGCAAACAATAACGCATCACATGTGGAAGATTGTTGACAACAGTGACAAATGTAACATCGCAGAAAGAATCTGTATAACTTCACATTTTGTGATATCTTTCAATTCTGACAAAGCTTGTGTGTTTAATGTAGATACCTTAGATTTCAGATAATCCTCCAGAACAAGAAGTGCATTGGAGTGAGGTCGAGGGAATGTGGAGGCCATGAAACTACAAAGTTATGGGAGATGACTCTATTTCCAAATTGCTGTTGCATCACATGCTAAGGACATGTAGCAATGTGTACAGGAGTGCCATCTTTCGTCCATTAATATCATGAATGACATTTTGCTGCTTCAATTCTTTAATGGTACTCTTCCTTTACCTACTTGCAATATTGTAAATTCATAAGAACAACTAAGATGATATAACAACACATAATAATTAATAAGACCATGAGAAAAATAAATTTAATTATAAAAATGGTAGAAGCGCCATTGCTTATGTCAATTAGTGTTTATTTCAGGTGGAAACTGATTGCCTATTGCCTCTGTAATTAGTGTTTATTTCAGGTAGAAACTGTTTGCCCATTGCAAATCTCCTTCTACCCTTTTTATATATTTTTCTCATTGTCTTATTATCAAGTGTTATTATTTCATATTATTTGTTCTTCTGATTTTATGGTTTTACGGGCAGATGAAAGAAAAGTACCTCTGGAATGGTATATACTGAGCACTTGTGATGAAGTATATATTCATAGGTGTGGAAGTGACATCTTTGAAGAAGTATGGATATAGAATGCATGTGCTTGTAATACCGCACCAGATAGTCGCTTTAGCTTTATATGACACTGTTACCATATCATGAGGATTTTTGTCAGCTCAGTGAACACAGTTCTTGGAGTTTGTGGTAAGAAGAAATGTGACTCATCCATCCATAATATCCACAGCAACCACCTGCTATCTTCATCATATCTGCTGAAGAAAAAAAAATTGTGAAGTCGTGAAGTGTTTCTCGTCTCCACGTTGCAACATCTGGATGTGCTTTAATCAGTAAGCAAACATCCTCAGAACAGAATGTAGAATCTTGAGGACTGTGGTTTTTGGTAGAACCAAACTGTGGGTAGCACTTCTTGCATTATGGAATAGGCCTGCAGTAATTATATTATGCACTTCTGCAGCAACATCAACAGAACACATGATTGTCTGGATCATATTCTATTACTTGTGCTTCCAGTTTTTCCAAATTTTTTTACCAAATCATGTACAGTTTTCATGGAACATGGGCTTTGTCTTAGCTTCTGATTTCAGTGATAAACTCAAACTGTTCGGGAGCACTTTCCCCGTTCAGATAAAACAGCTGTATCAAATCACCTTGTTGTTTCCCTGTAAGTATCTTCTTATTAGCATGTTTGAACACCTAATTGAAGAAACAATCTTCTCATGCTGCTAATTAAAGGTTTTCCACAAGCAATGCTTCGTACAACAGTTTAACTTGTTTGGAATTGTTTCTAGGATGTTCAACTGGACAAGTGGACTTGGTCAGCTGGAAAAGTCTCCAAGATAGGTGTTCAACTTGTTTGGAATTGTTTCCACATTTGAGAAATTTCCAAATGGTCAACATCAAAGAAAAGAGTGATATCTTTGATTGATTGCGTTACTTCGGTACATCTGAGAGCACAACTGCAGTCGCTATCTTCCATTCATCTTCTTTTAGCTCAGTATCACAAATATCATCAAAAATCAATGTATGAAATTTATCAGCTTTTGAATAAACTTCCTCAAAGTGCTGGTGGTTTCAACAACTGCCTATTTAGCGTATGTTTGGATAGCCAGTTTGCCTTGACATGCAATATTTAAGTACGGCCATCTGCGTCAGCAGTCACTGTAGCTCAACTATGCTTCAAAAATTGCTAATTTGCATTGTACACATAATTTTGAAAGCCAGTGTACATGGTCATCCACTTCTTATTTCATCTCCAGAACTATTTTTTCCAACTTATCTATTGCTCTAGCCATTTTATTTGCCCTGCCTTTTTTTATTTCCTAAATTTGTACATGTTTGTCCTTGAATTTAGCAGATCAGGCTTCTTTTTGCTTATTTACGATAAGGAAAAGGTGAATAGCCATGTGAAATAAGCCAAATTCATAAAATATTATCTGATATTCCATCCACTCTATATAAGGCTATCTGATATTTAAACCAATGTAATAATTATTTTTTACTGTATTTACGTAAACATTTCGTTAACTTATATTTTTCAGAGGTTATGTGACTGGCAGTACTGCACAAGATATAAATATTCCAGCAGCAACTAATAAAGCACCAGCTTTAACTTTAGAAAGTGAAGGAAGAAAAAGTGAAGGAAAGGTAATCACCAAATATCCGTGGATTTTATAACCAGATTTTAAATTCCGTATGTCCATCACCAATAAATATAAGAATTAGAAGTATGCATAGATAGACAGTATAGCCTTATGGTTCAAACGATATATATATGCAAATGTAGAAACATAACAATCTCTGATGATAATAATTTTGTTATCTAAAGATTAAATTATATTTTGAACTTTATTTAATATGATGTCTTTCATTACATACTTGCTGTCTTAATTTCAGCACTCTTAAAATCCTTAGTAAGATAATTTATTTGTAAATAATCCATAATGTCATTTTCAATGATGTCTTAAATAAATTGGTTACATACTATTAGGGTCTTGTTGATCACAAATAATCTTATTAGTTTCAGTTTTGGAGAACTTCCTCTGCCACTGAAGATGTGAATATTGGTTTCATTAAATAAATACATATATTTGGCATTTGGAAATGTGTCAGTTAATTCTGAATTGCTTCTTAGCAGTTCACTCTTGAAGTACTCATTTATGCTATTACTGCTGTTTTCCAAATTTCTGAAATGCTGTCAAAAAGTGCCCTTTAAAATAAGATTTCACATTAGAGATATGAAAGTTGTTTATTTATTCAAATAAGACAAAAAAAATAATAAGACTTATCTGCAGGAGATGCCTTCATGAAGGGCTCCAGAGCAAAACGTAGTCTGCAAATGCCAACATCTGTAACCAGTGCTCTTAGTATTAGTGAAGATGCTTACTAAGAGCATTTACATTTCTGTTGTACTAAATATTTGTAATGACAGTTGTGCTGTATGAAGGAAATGCTGCCCAGCCGGTGTAGTGGTTGGTCACACTGATTGCTGTACCAATGGTCCCAGGTTTAAATCACAGAAAAAGCATAGGTGTTTATAAGCATATAATAACTGCCTCCTCGAGTTGTTCTGGCATCCTGAAATTTGAGCAATCTATTACGTTAGTAATGCTAGGCGATGCCTAATTACACAGGTGGCAGTATTGCTACAACCTGTACCTGAGGATCCTGATATATATATACACTGCTGGGCATTAAAATTGCAACACCAGGAAGGAATGATCTGATGAAAAAAATCACATGAAAAGAAATAGATGTTCGGATATGCTAATGATTAGTATTTCAGCACATTTATACGATGCAGGAGGGAGAAACAACATCTGAAGCACTGCCTAAAAGAAAAGTTGTGTAGAGGATTTCTCATTTGGAAAGTGCTTTGTAAGGTTGGAGTTTGCAAAGAATATTGTGTTATGCCTCGAATTAAGAAGAAGATGCTTACCAGCAAGTTTAGAAAATCGATAGAGGCAGGACCGTTGCCTATCGAAAGCGTGGATTAACATTCTGTGATATCGCCCGTCGCACCTGTGGACATCCAACCACAGTGTTGCAAATATGGAGTCAATGGACTGCTGAGGGTCATACTGAACAGCATGCAAGACCTCTATGCCTTTCCATGACTAACACCAGAGAGGACAGACATATTGTGACGTCAGCCCTGCAAAATCATAAGACGACATCATGGACCATTATTTAGGAAACGGGTATGTTTGCAGTACGTCCAGTATCAGCTCATATGGTGCTTCGACGCTTGCAGCATGGATTATCAGCATAACGACCGTTACTTTGGCATCCTTTGACAATGCATGATAGAGACAATGTCTCCTGGTGTGCGAACTGCAGAGTTGGATACAGGATTCTACGTGCAGTATTCTGATGGCTGTATACATATCAGGAGTGTCTGAAGAGATTGCACGTCGCCTACTTCATTTGATATTGGCATAGGGGCCCTGCATCTAGTGTAATGGTTTGGGCAGCCATTGGGTACGCAACACGAGTTCAGATCAACGGTAATTTGAATGCAGGTTGGTAACATTTCTGGTGTCTTACGACCTGTGGTTGTGCTCTATATTCAAGGCCTGCCAAACACCATCTAACAACAAGGTAATGCAAGACCACATGTTGCACGTTGTGTTCTGACCTTACTCGATACACAAGGTGTTCGATTGTTTCCATGGCCTGCATGGTCTCCAGTTCTGTCACCCATTGAAAACATTTGGTCATGGGTTGCTGAGAGATTGTCCTCTCACCCCTCTTCGGTTGATGAAGTGGAGCATAGACTTGAAGTAGCATGGAACGAGTTGCCCGTTTCTGTCATCCAAGCCCCGTTCGAATCCAGGCCTAACCGGGTAAGGGCCATTTTAGCTGCCAGGGATGCCAGCTGGTTCTACTAATTTTGCACCCCTGTAAACCTCCAAAATGCTTACAAATTTAATCATTTTGTCTACATGCCATACTATTTACATGCAATAAATATCTTTTTTGTATATACGTTCCTTCATAATGTTGCAATTTTAATGGCCAGCTGTGTATATACCTATGCATTTACGTTTTCATCTCTTTGCAGCAGTGTAGTAGGATATGTTCTGATTGGTAATAGTAGAGTCCAGATGATTCACTTATCAATGACTTAACATCATGCCTTAGAATAGCTTTATACAGTACATTAGTGTTACAGATTTATAACTGTGTCATTAAGGGTAAAGCTGTGCTGATTTTTGTTCTTTTGCTTTTGTAACTTATGCAAAGCAAATTTTCTTATTGCTCCCTTCAGTCATTAAGTCCATAATGTCAAATAACCACCCCATTCAGATATGTTTTCAAAAGCAGATCATATTTTCATAAAAACGAGATAAGATATGTTAGTACTTGTTCTATATTGTGTAAATTTGGTGTGACGGCACTAGGCTGAAGGTTGCCAAAGATGCAAAGCAGTGTTCTAGAATTTATGCCTAACTTCTAACTTTACTTGTTAATGGTTGTGTGTATGCTATTATAAGGAGGTAGAATACTGGGGATTTTGGTCTTCAAGGTTACGTCTTCAAATAAGAATAAATAAAATGAATTTTAGCCAACATTGAGAGCATATTATATTTACAAAAAGTTATATTGAATTGTTATCAATAAGTACACTCTTCATTAGGAAATAATTGCTTTGCAATTTCAGTAGAGTTAATGCCAAAAATTCAGTCCTAAAACACTCCTAAGGACTTACTTCAAAAGGTATGCAATGAGATTTAGAAGTTCACAGTGATGATGTTAATGAGCTTTTGGAGCATAGGAAAGAGATGAGAGTTAATGAACTTATAGAGGGCTTAATTAATTTATAGAGGTCTGGGTTTAAGTTGCTGGCTTCTTCAAAAGGAATCAAGTCCCTTTTGAAGAAGCCAGCAATTTAAACCTAGATCCATGAGAAAGAGATTTGAAAATTATGAAAGGATTATGAATTTTGTATACTGTAAACTGTAGCAAGGAATGTGTTCTAGCTGCAGGGCACAGGAAACAAAAAAAAAAAAAAAAAAAAAAAAAAATTATAGCTAAGAAATTTTATTTGATAAAAGATGTCCTTCAGTTATCAGATTCGTTTCTTAAATTTGAAGCTATTGGCTTCGAAGTAACTCTGCTTTATGTAGCACATTTTAGAGTTATTTTATATTCATATGTATGACAACTGCATCTGTATTACATATTTGCTGTTTAATAAGTATCCTGTTTAACTAACATACCTTAGTTAGGGTCCTATGTAACAAAGATTCATATGGCCCTTGGCCCTATTTATTTAAGATTCACATGCATTTATATTGCAAATTTAGATTCTGATTTATATTAGTTTTGTTGATCCCACCTAAGCTTAACTTATTCTATTATTACTCTAAAGATATTACTGTAAAGAAAAACATTTAAACTATATAGACCATCAAACTAAGTTTCCTAATGCCATAGCTTTCTGCAATAGATATCCTAGAAATTATAAAAGGGGAGTTGTGGGCAAAGTATAAAAGGGGGAGTTGTGGGCAAAGTATAAAAGGGGGAGTTGTGTGCAATCTTTGCTGCCCCCAATCCTTCCTTTTGCTCTGGATTTCTGAAATATTTTTATATTCATGGAAATCTTTTTTTTTTTTAGAAATCTAGAATTATTTAATTTTGGAAAATTTTAGCTTGTAGTAAGAGTCTGCCAAGTAATTGTTGAGCAGAAATAAGTAAAATTGTTGAGCAGTAAGAGTTCAGTCTGGGGTTTGAATGCTGGCAAACGGACTGCCTGCATGGATGCTTTCGGGATTTTACCCATGTGTAACATATATACGAGCCAGTTTTCCTTGGAACGTTATCTATGAAGGCATACTTTCCATTAGGCAGTAGTCCTTGAATGCTTTGCCATAATGAAATAAACCAAACCAATCTCAAACTTTTTAAAAACTCAATTTTTGAGAGATTTTTGTTCATATTGCAAAAGATGCTTGCTTTCATGCAGTCACTCCCATAGATTGTGATAGTTTACAGTCCCTCAGATTTTGCCTCCTACAGTTCATAGAATCATTGTGATGTCACTAGGGTTCGGAGCTGTGCTGGTGGAGTTCGAATGTATGCAATGTGTTAAACAAGTTTATTTTTGCGTCAGGGCACATGTTAATGCATTTATGTCCTCCTACTTGGCATGTTATCACCTTGTTTCCATGGTTTTATTTGCGTGGCAGATTAAGATTTGAGTGTCTGCTTTAACATATCTGCCTCTTGTATGCACAAACGATGAATCATCCATGCAGTCGATGGTTGTCAAGCAGTTCTGTTTTGCCAAAGCCAGTGAAGAGTAAGAAAACCTACTACTTCAACAACAAATGAAAGGAAGAGCTGTCATTTGCAAATGCTGGCAAAAAGTGGTTTGTTTATTATGTTGTGCTTCAGTAATAGTACCAAGGCATTGTTGAACTTCATAAAATTGTCATAAGGATTTCAATGGATTTCTGTAAGAATCTAATCAGGTCTGTTTTACATAAAGTTCAAACACTGAAATCTTCTAAAAGCTTAACAAAGAATTTTTATCCTCAAAAATGAAGAAAAGAATCACTCAAGCATCCTTCCTTCAAAGTAAGTTACATTCTTGCATCACATAAAAGGGCATATTCAGATGGTGCCACTGTGAACAAAGCTAT